CACTTCGCCCTTGCCCTCTCGACCCCTTGACGATTTAACGCCACGCCATACGACTCAGCGGCACCCCCCCCCTGGACCCTCTTCCCCTCCTCTGCCCACGTACTACTTGCTATTGCTCTCCCGCTACCCCCTACACCTGCGCTCTACTTTGCTACCTGCCTACTGCTCTCCACTGCTCTCCACTGCTCTCCACTGCTCTTTATACTCATTTTACACTCCTTACTCCTGTGTATACACGGCATTCGCTACAGCCCCCGCTAAAGAGACCTAACGCGCTGGGTTCTCTTCATACTTTTCTCCTGTAATGACATTAAGAGGGCAGTCTACTACTCGATTATCCAGGAGCGATATGGGAACGTGGCTTTGTAATTGACTGAAATTGCTTGAACTTTTAAAGACGATGATCAATCCGCAAAGACGCGTATCTCGCGTAGGAGCGGCTTCGAGTAAGGTAGCCAACCCACAGGTACATAAAACCGGAGCAGAAGTCGCGGACGTCTTATCAGCTTGCCATTAACCAGTCGCTGCTACCTATATCTTAATTGCTTTCTATATTCAAGCGAAATGCATTCTCTCGTCGTTTACTATTGGCCGGGTGATGACGCACGTGACCCCCTCCCGCCCTCCGCGATTCCCAAGTGTTTCTCATCCTACGTATTTCTTCTTGTCTTACGTTCTCTCACGTTCGTCCTATCCTATCCTCAATCGGCAAGTTCATCACTCGAGTCGCCGTACTCGTAATTGTCATGGTCGCGGTCGCATACGTCACAGTCAATGTCGATCTACAGCGCGTCTCTCCGGTTAGCGCATAATCCGGTATACGCGGATTGCGTAAGCTCATTATTCTAGGGTCTCAGTACTTCCGCCTCGGGTAGCTCGTCCTCGTTTATCAGCTATCGGGCACGACTCTGTTGCGGGGAATTTTTTTTTTTTTTTTTTCATTCCCGGTGGTAATAATCAACACGGCGAATTTGGGGGTCGAGGAGCGAGGGTCAGTGGACTCTTGTGCGCATGCGCAAGTAGATGCGGATGCACCTGCACTTTGGTAGCGCAGGAGCGTGCGCAGTTGAAATTGGACAAAGGTTTAGGATATTTCGGGGAGCTTGGAGTGTACTTGGCTGTATGTGGAGTACAAGTCATTACGTTGCTAATTATATTAATTAGGGTTTGGTATTAGGCGGATACTCACCGGCTATACTGGAGGTGGAGGCTCCGAGCCAAGCGTGAGAAGATTCCAACAACTTGGCCTGAAAGAAGAAAAAAAAACGAAATTTGTCAAAAACACAAGTGCAGATAAGGCGGAATGAATTTTTAAAATGATATTTCGAAAACCGGAAGTTCCTTGATCGCCATTTCCCAAGTGGCTGAAGGCAGTCGGGGCAGTCGGGCTCCAAGCATCCGACAACTTTGCTAATATGTGGCGGCTTTCGAGGTTCCCCAGCCAAAGGGGCTGGTACCTCGAAAACATCGGAAAGTGAAAGACACACGCAAAGTTGGCTCATTTGAAAGTTTTTTTCCGGGCGATTTCTGCATGCAATCCTCAGGCAATGACTTCATATCGCGAGCACCGGAACCCTCGGCGATTCCGGCCTGCCTGACTTTTCAAATTAATTTTTAAGGGTCTCATCGGCATCCTGGCCGCTTTCCTGAGCGCCGCTCCTCAGTCCTCCTCATCATCTCTACCCTCTCCATGTACCCGCAGATTGTTCTCCAGTTCACCCCTAATTTAACCTCCCTGGATCCTCATCACGCACGGAGCCTCGAATGCTCAGCGTCGGGTGTGAAGAACGTGGAAGCTTCGGCTTTTCATTTGACTTTGTCACACTACGCATGACGATCGTCGAAAGCAAGTCAAAGACTTGTACTAGGGGGTGAAAGAAATGGGTGTGTCCAGGGAGAAAGTTCTCACGAGTCTCAGCAGCATGCACACGGACCTACACGCGCAGCCACGAAGACTCACCCTCTCCCTCCCTCTTTCCTTCTTCTCTCGAAGCAAATAGCCAAGGTAAAAGTCGAATGGGGAGAGGGTGGGAAATGAGAGTGAACGTAACTACGGCAAAGTACACAGTTTTGTCGTGCAATTTGGTCCCACCCTCTCCAGACACACTGGGCACACTGGACACAGTGGGCATACTGGGCACACTGTGGGCGCACTGGGCACCCTGGGCATTCTGGGCACCCTGCCGCCCCTGGACTGACAAAGTTGCCGACCGCCATATCGCACGGTGTGTATTTCGATAAATATTTAATCGCCAGCCAGATGCGCTATATACTTTGTAAGTCATACTTTGCCAAGCGCAGAAGGGGTCGAGGAGGAGGGCGGAGGGGAGGGGTGCGGATGCCGTATCGCACTCGCATATTAATGTCGCTGCAATGGGGATGCATCGTGTTTTTGATGTAAATTGTCCAGGACGAAGAGGAAGAACCGCGTCGTTAATGTCCAACCAGTCATCAGGCGGATGGGCAGGTTGATGCATAACCCAGGCGCTCGAGGAAGACGTCTTAAGAGTCGCCTCTGACACTTTGCAGGAGCGAAGGAGGGACGAGAGAGAAGGGGAGAACAGGAGAGAAGCAACGGCGTCGGTTTCATCGCTCGACATTCGAGAAAGAAATCGTTCGATTCGCGAGTCGAAACGAACTTTGAAATGAAAAACTCGGTGGTG